GGGTTTAACCCCTTGCTTATATATGAGAATGGATGAACTAGATTTAGTTCTAAATGGATGATCCATATGTTATAGTACTATTAATTAATCTATTACTTACATAATGTAATACATGTATTATATGTATTAGCTAACTACAGAATCCTGATGAACCAATTACAACTTTGTATGTAGCAATAAAATGGTCATCTAAGCTCTTATAACCCAAGGATGCTTAATTTTAAGTATCTCAAGACCTTTAACCGATTGAAAATGAGAATGCACTTTTGTTCTATAGATTATTTTTTGAGTCGTTCTCTTTGATTACTTATGATTCATCATATTTCCTTGCAAGTTTATGCCTATGTGAATGAAAGTTGAAAGTTGCAACTCTCTTGACACTCTATTCCTTGGGTCAAGCCCAACTAGAGTAAATTGAATCACTATATATCAATATCAATATATGGTATAATTCCATTAGCTAACCAACACAGTCAAACGTGAGACCCTTACGATTCCCTTAATTAACCAATAAAGTCAAACTTAAAACCCCTCTAATACAAAATGTAAACTTCTGAATTTAAATTTCTTAAGAAGTCATCCAACCTAATACTACTCAAACCTAAAGATCTCAGATATACTAATACCCTTAACTGATTCGAAAAGGAGATGCATTTTTTTTCATAGATTTTTTTTTTTTATATTTGAACTTTATAGAATGTATCTTGAGTCATTTTCTTTGGTTAAGTATAGTCTAAACCAACCTCAAATCAAACTGAAAAAAGGGACTTCAAGAGCCACTACAATCTATAAAACATCATTGTAACAAAAAATACATCTTGCCTTTAAATTTGTCTGCTAACGATTCTTTGAAACCATCATTAACTCAAACTTATGAGCATAAGTAGAACTTGCCTTTGTGTTTTCCCTTCAATTAATATTCATAACCTATATTAACTCAAACTTATGACATTCATCTTTATCTAACACTAAATATAGGAGGTCGGACTCACTCCATTTGTCCTCCACGTCCTCTTTATCTCCTTCTCAAAAGAAAAAAGTATTGTTTTCATTCAAATTTACTACACTTATCTTCACTCTATTATTTATATTTGGCCTCACTCCCTTATTATATTCATTCGTCTTCATTATGTTAGGGTTAAATATTCTATTCGGACTCACTATACTTGTCCTCACTTCACAATCCACTTTGCTCTACTATTGTATCTGTTCATCCTTACTCCATTGTCAAGGTTGAACTCCTATCTATCCTCTCTACCCCCTTTTCTAAAGAAAAAAAGTTTAAAGTGTCAAGGCAAAAAAGAGAAAGTAAGAAAAATTGAGAAAGAAATATTGTAGAAGAAAAAAAAGGGATATATAAATATTAAATGAGGAACTTTTAGCAGTTGTTAATGCAAAAATAGGGAAATGAAAAAGAAGGATATGTGCTCAATGTTTAGAAAACAAAAGACTTTTTGTCATAAAATACTTTCACCACCACCATATAAGCAAAAAATTCACAATACTCAACTTTTTCAACACACAATTCAATACTTGACATGGGAAATCAATAAAAATGTCCATACTTTTAAGAGAATACATAAACTCCTTAGTAGCAATAGTAAAGCAAAAGCTCTCAATGGCACTCATAACCAGGGATACATATTCAAGTCGAAACTCTTGCAAAAGTGAGTCAACCTTGGAATAAGGGAATACTAAATAGCATAATTGATTAAAGACTTTGCTAATGAAAAAAAAAGCACCACACCACTATCTTATAGACACGTGGCATGTAACACGTGGCACATGAAGGGTTTAGGTTCCATTTCGTATTATCCTATGGTAAATCACCATAGGATAAAGGGTCAAAACCACATGCACTACACTAACCCAAGGTTCAGGGCCTTGGGCCACTAAACAAAGGAATGGTGCCAAACCCCTAAGCTTGGAGCCAAAGAGTGATGGAACCAGACCACGGAGCAACTCCCAAGCATACAACCTAAGGAGCAAAGGGACAAAAGTCCTGAGCGACTTGGAACAGTCCTAGAGCAACTAACATCCCAATGCCAGAACCAGCATACAAAACGGAGCTAAACAGAGTTTGGCACTTTTTTGGCATATTAGTGGTTTAACGCAAGGATATGGGTACTCCACCAGCTAGCATGGTGTGGAGCTTGGGGTTAGACCCAAGCTAGACGCAGAACAAGGACAGATACGCAATCAGAAGCTAGACTATGCCTCGAGTTGGTTAGCCATGCCCAACCTACCCACTATCTCTACTACACATTTGGAACCCCCCACAGCCACCCCCCCTTGAGGAACACACACTTTGGGCTTTCACTCCGAGCTTCCCTTAGTATCAAGAGTTAGTCTCTGGGACAAGTTCGAAACTTACTAAATATGGAATGGTGCTAGAATGTAAATTTGGACATGGGACGAACACCATTGTGTTCAGGCCAATCTCTACATTCTGTAAATATGCCAAATAAGCAAATCTAGACACTTTCCATAAATAGTATTTAGGACCGGAATGAAACTAACACAAAGGGCATAATAGCAAGGGTGTTTAGCAGACACGGTAAGCTATTATTTAGTGAATATTGAGGGACCAATCTCAATATCGCGGGGGTTCCCAACACTAGCAAGTGCAAGTCAACGGATGAGTTTCTCTAACCAAGTCAAGTATGCTTGACTAATAGCACTTAAAAATTTCGTCTTTATGCTCATTTGGTCAAGTGCACACACAAAAACCAGTTTCTCAACTAGCTTAAGTGGAGACTAATAACAGGCCTCAGCAATACCGACCTTCTGCCGTCGTGGCAGTAAAGAAAGAGTGTCCGTAAGGACTGGTCGACAGGTAACTTTCGATACCTGAAGTCATATTCGCGACAGCAAGATCCTTAACTTTATGCACATGCTTAACATCTAAATTAGTATGAGGACAGAAAACACTCAACTCAACACTACATTGAGAATGAGAATCATAAAAGTCATAAATGATTGACATGCTAGGAGAAGAAGATACTGGAAATAAGGAACAAAAAACTAAGAACATGAGAAGATGGCTTAAACTGAGAAAGACCGAGAAATAAAAAAAGGTTGTAACAAATAGAAGTAAAAGGAGATGATCAAATGATAGATTGAAGGATTAATACCTACCTTATGAAAATTTTAATTTGTCTTTAAAGCTATCTTCATAATAATTAAGCTCCCCATCACAATTTAAAATCTATTCAAACTCGTAAACATTATCTTCCTATAAACTCGATCCTTAAACATTCTTCAAGGATTGAATTGCATTATTCACAACTCTTTAATCAATATCATGAACACGCTCCACATTAACAAGAGATGGCAAAACACTAAGAACAAGAAAAGCTATGTAATTATATCTCACAAAACTTGGAGATAGCAATATATCAAAGATGAATGCAACACCAATATAATCACACCCTATAGCACCAAAGACTTGATTCAATGGAGTAATAGCTTTAAGTGATATATTCCTTGATCAATGATAGTATGGCATGATAGAAGAAGGGAATGTAATAAAGATTAAAAAAAAGAGTAAATTTAAACATAGCAATAGGTAAAATTCTAGATCTTACAAAAAGCTAATACAAATCTAAATCTAAAAGAAAAAGAAAAGAATAAAAATAAAAGCATAATCCTAAACACTACAGTAAAAATTTTGCCCTTCAGCGATAAATTGCAATGCCCCTTACTTCCACCAACGTAAGTGTTTAGGATATGAGAATTAAATATCTTAATTGGGGTGTAGACCCCTTCTTATATAGCAGAATGGATGGATTAAATATGCTATAGTGCTATAATTAGTATATTACCTAGATCGATTATATATATATATATAGACACACATAAGTTATATATATATATATAGACACACACATACATACATATTTACAAACCTTAAAAATTAAATTTAATAGATATTCTTGGAATTTATGATGATATGGTAGTTAGATTGCCAAACTACCAGGCAATTTCTATACTAAAGTGGCATACACTCTTATAATATTATCTAAGGTACAAAAGATCAAATCTATTAGATGAATGGCTGACCAAGTCAGTTATCATTCACTCATTTACTCCTTTGCCACTAATTTACATAGCTACCAAAATCCCTTCTCATGGATAAAACTAACACAAAGCTCACACTAGGTATAAACTAGTAGACCAAACTTGTATTGTGCTTATAACAAGCCAAAACTGAAGTGAGAGCAGGCTGTTAGAATTGTGTAAGAAACACATAAGGGGCTTGCAAATTCACTCTTGGACATTCCAGAAGGAGTATCACTTCTTGCACAAGAGACACCCTTGATTTTTGGCTAAACGAGATATGACAATAAGTCTTCCATTGCTACCTCAACATATGAATTGTTCTTGATTTTTTTTATTTGTGCAAGTTTTGAATAAATGTCCTGTTGGATCTTTGCTAACTCCATTAGACACTCACCACAAGACTCAGTACAACTTGACCCCAAGCCTCACCTAAGACTATAGATGCTGTGGATCTTCTATATACTGCTATCTTTGGTTACAGTCTAAAACTGTCATGAAATATTGCTTTGAATATTTCTGGGCTCTATATTACACTAAATATAACCTAGAAAATTTATATTAAAATCCTAAATTTGATTTATTTTAATAATGGGCATTTAAATAAACTATTAATTGAATAAAGTGATAGAAATAAAATTTTATCATAAACATATCTTATCAAATACTTGGGTGTCCTTAGGATTAGAAGTAAAAGTCATTGATCTTATCATGAATCTTATCAAATACTTGCGTGTCCTAATAGAAAACATTCAATCAACTAATGGGGTAGGATTAGTAGTAAAAGTCATTGATCTTATCACATATCATATCAAATACTTGCGTGTTCTAATAGAACACATTTGAATCAACTATTAAAGAACTGCCTAGAAAACCTGACATTGCAATACATCTTTTCAATCACAATGGATAGAGTAATTATTGCACTTATGTTTCTTAACCTTTTGTACTTTGGTGTAATTTATAGTGCTGATTGTTATGGAGGTTCCATGCCAGCAGGGCTTACAGTGTCTAATTACCAACAAGCTGCCAATACTTTTTGTGGTGCTGATATAGCCAACAATGGGAAAACATATATTTTTGGGTTTGATTCATCTGGAAGGAGAAGAAGTGTCACTCTAACTTTCACAGGCAATTCCAAGGCAAAATATTGTACGGTAAGCGAGGCAAGCTTCAAACTAATACTTACTAATTACATGGTAATTTTGAATCTTAATAGACTGGATGTAATAATATCATTAGCCAATGCATGCAAGCCACATGTGGGCGAAACGCCTGTCCACAAAAGGCAGGACGATGGGATTGGTCTTTTAATGGTGAAGAGGCTCACTTCACTATTGATGGGAGTGTTGCTTGATAAGTGGAAATTAAAGAATTCAAATAAAGTTTTCTTGGTCCTTTTCTCCAAATCCTTGCGCCTTTGCTTCAAAACAAATACGGCGAAACCCGACAGGTACTCGCAGGCAAAGTGTACCCTGGCCCGGACGTCATGCATTCCCTTCCATCTTCAATATGATAGTTTTTCTCAATAGGTGCTGTCTCTTTACTCTTGATCATTTCTGGTCTTGAACGAAGCTCTTTCTTGGCATCTTCACTCACGTCATTTTCGGCAGCTCCATTTGGTTTGTCAAGCTTAGTTTGAGATGAATCACGGGGGTAAACTCTCAAGCGAGACTTCGTCCTTGGTATCCTGCTGCGGTTCCAGCTCAGATTCACAGGGAAAGCTCCAATGACAGCTTCAATCCCTCCTGTAGCAAGAAGATCGACCATCTGAGAGAAAGCATGATCGTCCAGATCAACTAGGATGTCCAAGTCGTCTTCTCCAAGGTTGATATGGCTCCCACCGTTGGCGATGCCATCAAGCACGCCTTTGTCGTCTACCAAGCCTCTCTTTTTCTTGTATAAAGTATCACGGACACTCTTCTGCCGCTGCTTGTGCACGAAGCTTTTGCTTGTTGGGGAACATGAGCCGCATGGACTCGAGGAACGATGCTTCTGCCGGATGGCCGCCTTGGACGAGATCTTTGGATCATACAGAAGAGCTTTTCCGATTTCGGAGCTCTCGAACATGTGTAACGAAGTGAGAATCGCATAGCACCTACAATGAGGTACAAGATCAAACGAGAGAGCCCCCAAGATCAAAATCAAGAAAAAAAGCCGGAAGAAAGAAATAAAACAAAATCGGTTCTTACTTTGCCTCACTGCTTGAGATAGACTCAAGCGGAACAAGGTTCATCCTCGCTCAATCGGCTCCTTAACATCGCGGAGATTGTCAGCCACGGATTGATCCCACTAGCTAGCCGATCATGTCGCAGGATGCTACATAGAGCTCCAGAGCTGGAATGAGAGATTTCACTGATGTGAGCAGCTCCAGGGCAACTTGGCAGGACGCTCTTAAGAGGTTATACTTTGGTGGAAGTGGAATATTTTTTCTATAATCTGATGATGAGAGTTTGGATCGTGGTGAGCTGGGTCTCTTTTGAGCAAGATCAGCAAGTCGCCTTCTGCACTCTAATCTCTAGTTTGCAAGGTGTTTTGCAGTACTAGTGGCCAGAGTCACAAGGAGAGATATAACTTTGCTAAGCCAGGGGAATTAATCTCACAGCAAGACAAAAGCTTGGCAACATGGAAGACATCCTCTACTTGACCCTAATTGCATAACAAACATCACGACCAGGTGATGAGGAATCAGTGGCAGGGGAGTTGTCTACTCCACTAATGAATGTCTAGATGCCTTTTCTATGCAAGCCCAATTGACTAAAAAAAAAGTTGGAATGTCTTTAGATTTGCCATAAGTCTCATGCTGTGATGGTTCAAGTTATATCTTTTTTTTCTGACATTCAAAAAGCTTGATTATATCTGCATTGTATTGATAAAAATAGAGATCAGATATTTGTGATGATGATTTTGAGAGTGAATAGAGTGATATTTTGTAAATGTAAGTGGATGGAAATAAAATTGGAGGATGTGTTGTTAAAAGTGATAAAGACAAGAACTTGGAAATAAAGGGGAAATAGCCAAGAAATAAATGAGCTCCTAGAAAAGAGGAGTTAAGGGCATCCAAGGCTGGAATCCAAGCTTGAGATTGTGTTTGCAAGAGAAAATTACCTAGAAGAACATGAAAAGCAACTGAAAACAAAGAAGAAAAGAAAGGAGCACTAGTAAAGAAGGTGGTGACTTGAGTTTTTCTTGAGTGTTGTTGTGAAGAAGCTCGCATCTAAAGGGCAAAAGGAATCCTAGAGAAAGCTTTGGATTCCATGGACAATCAAGTTAAAGTCAAGCAAGATGGTCTAAAGCTTGTGATGTCAAGAGAATCTGAAGTTGCAAAAGACATTGGTATGAGAACTTAGAGCATAATGTTGGGTTGTGCTGATTGTTCCTAAATGGGGAATGTTGATGTTGCTAAAGAGGAGAAAGTCATCTGAAGTGCTTGTAGAAGTCCGATGGGCAAATTACAAACTCTTGAATTTGAACTTCTTGGGCTTAACCCTAAATATCTTAAGATTGGAAAATCTTTTAAGGGATAGGCTATTTCTCTTTATATTTGAACTTTTTTGAATTATATCTTGAGTTGTTTTCTTTAGTTGTTTACGTACTTGAGAAAGCTACTATGAAATTGTATATAATTTATGGCTATAGTTATGCTGGATCTCTGTGATATGTAGGGTGTTTGGGAAGGCTCCATGCTTGAGGACACCATGTAGAGAATCAGAGCTGAAACATGAAGAAACCCAAAGGCATGTGATTGTGTGATGCCATATTGAAGTATTGGAGTGGTGACTCTAGGATGATATAAAGCTATTGCCAACTAAAGAAGACTCATTTCAGTGGCAAGGAAGTTATGCAAAAGCTTTTAAGTGTGGCCAAAGTTAAGAAAAGAGGTTGGAGCACTCACTATTGCTCCATAGCTAGCATATGCCATATCCAAATGGGTGATGTGAGTGGCATAGATCCTTGAGTGAGGCTCCTTGCTAGTGAGGAAAACAAATTGGAGTTGTGATAGTGAATTGAGTGGTCACAAGAGTGTTGTTTATTGATCTTGTAGGGATCCATGATAAAGTACATAAATCTATGAGTGTGTCCTGGAAAGGCAAAGTTAGTAGATAAGAACATACAACATGGTGGATATGAGGTTCAAATAAAGGGCTCTAGAAATTCAAGATCTTCTCAATAGGGGTAAACACCATTAGTTGGGAATTATGTGATCCAAGTTGTTTGAGTTGTGTGGTTGAAGGAGATTGTTCATGAGTGTGGAGGCTGATGTCTCTTGATCTTTGAAAATCATGACTAGAACACCAACAATGTTGTCACTTGCATTTGGCAAATCACCACTTGTTGTTTTCACATTATCCCTAGCTCCAAGCTTGGCTAAAATCTCATTGGCTATTGCAGAGAGGGCTGTGAACTCCCAAGAAGCCTAGTCCTTAAATAAAGATGCCAAGGAGTTGGTTGCTACTAGTAGTACCCAAGGAAGATTGCCACCTTTTGTGAGTGTGCTGCAGAATAAAGCAAGGAGAAGATCCACATATATTTGGTATGTGGCTGGATAAGAGCCTTCTAATGCCTCTTAAACCATGGTGTTCGTCCCATGTCCAAATTCACAATCTAAGGATATTTTATATTTAGTAAGTTTCTGTAAGTAACTAAAGAGAACAACTTGAGAAACGATTCGTGGGGTTCAAAGATAGGGGTGAAAGCCCAAAGCATGTGTTCCTCAAGGGAAGGGGGGCTAGGGGATATGGGGGGTTCCAAATGTATAGTAGTGTCGCGCATGTGACTTCGGGTATCGAAAGTTACCTGTCGACTAGTCCTTACGGACACTCTTACCTTACTGCCACGATGGCAGGAGGTCGGTATTGCTGGTTCCCTTTATTAGCCCCTCTTGTTCAAGTGTTAGTAAACTGGACTTTGCATCTGTACTTGGCCGGATGAGCATAAGGAAGGAATTCCTAAGTGTCTATTGAGCTGAGCATACTTGGCCCGGCTTGTTAGTTCTCTTTTGCTCTGTCTTGCACTGGCTTGACAAGAACCCTCGCGTATTGAGATTGGTCCCTCAATATCGCTACATGATAGCTTACCGTGTCTGCAAAACACCCTCGCTATCATGCCCTTTGTGTTAGTCTCATTTCGGTCCCAAATGCTATTTATGGAAAGTGTCCAGATTTGCTCATTTAGCATATCTACGGAATGTAGAGATCTTCCTGAACACAATGGTGTTCGTCCCGTGTCCAAATTCGCAATCTAAGGACATTCCATATTTAGTAAGTTTCGAGCTTGTCCCAGAGACTAACTCCTGATACTAAGGGAGGCTTGGGGTGAAAGCCCAAAGCGTGTGTTCCTCAAGGGGGGGGGGGGCTGTGGGGGGTTCCAAATGTATAGTAGGGATAGTGGGTAGGTCGGGCATGGCCGACCAACCTGAGGCATAGTCTAGCTCCCGCTTGCGTGCCTGTCCTTGTTCTGCGTCCGGCTTGGGTCTAAGCCCAAGTTCCATTCCATGCTAGTTGGTGGAGTACCCATATCCTCACGTTAGGCCACCGGTATGCCGAAATAGCGCCAGACTCTGTTTGGCTCCGTTTTGTGTGCTAGTCCTGGCATTGGGATGCTGGTTGCTCCAGGACTGTTCCAAGTCGCTCCGGGCTTCTGTCCCTTCGCTCCTTGGGCTTTATGCTCGGGAGTTGCTCCGTGGTTCGGTTCCGTCACTCCTTGGCTTCATGCTTGGGAGTTTGGCACCGTTCCTTCGTTCAGTGGCCCAAGGCCCTGAACCTCGGGTTCCTATGGACACGTGGCATGGACACGTGGCATGTGACATGTGGCATCTGTCACGTGGCACAAAGAGGGTTTAGGTTCCGCTTCGTGGTGTTATCCTATGGTAAATCACCATAGGATAAAAGGTCAAAACCACGTGCGCTACATTTGGTATCAGAGGATGAGTCTCAGCGAGTACTATTCAATGAGATTGGGCAACTAGTCTCGTTGCATACGCAGAGATGAAAACGATGATCCGAGTGGGTACACGTTTGGTGCAAAGGGTTCACATTCGTTCCTTGGGTATGGTTTTGGTTACCTTTTGTACCATATTCTGTGAGCTTGAGCTTGGGCTCACAAAAGGGATTGAGTTGTTCCGGTTACACGAGTTTACGCTTGGGCTCGTGAATGAGGCACATTAGCAACTTAAGGTTACACTTTGAGTTGGCAGGATTAATGTTAGCCTCTCAGTGGTTCCATGAGTTGTTCTAGTGGTTCCATGAGTTGTTCCATGTACCGTGGGTAAGAGCAAACCTTCCCTGAGTTTGCTATGAGTGGCAAATAGGCTGGTCCGTAGCTATTTAGCACGGCACTAGTAGATCCTTCCTAGGCATGATTACAAGTGGATCAATCAAGACTGTAGGGATTAATCTATTGGTTCAAG